GAAAAAGCGCCCCGTCTTCGCTTATTGTGAAGATAGACTCCTGATCGGCGGAGAACCAGACGCCCCTGACTTGCTGTCTATGGCCCGAGAGGACCGTTGGCTCGAACCCTTCCTCTGGGTCCAAACTCCATATTCGTGCGGTAAGGTCCTTGGATGCACTGAGGAAGAACCGTGAGTCGCCCGACCAACTCAAATGTCTGACATCGTCAAAGTGACCTCCGTATTCGCGATGAAGAATGAATGGCGCGAATTCGAGGTCCCCGTCAGCATTTCCGCCGGGCGTGGAAGGTGTCCGCCATGCCTGAATCTTTCTGCCAATCCCCACCACAAAATGACGACCGTCCGGGGCAAACGCCAATGATGTTACCGGCGACTTAAAGGAGAAATGGTATATCGCGACTCTTCTGGAGAAGATAGATAGTATTGCGCGGCCATCCTCGTCAATAGTGAGGAGGAGGTTTCCATCTGGGGAAAGGTCGAGGTGGGTAATGTTCTTTCGGTGGGCGAAGGGGAAGGTGTAACTAGTGTTCCTGCGCGATAATATGTTAGTTTCAAGTTCATGATTGTCCCACGGAGGGTTTCTCACTTTGTTAAATTAAACACAGTGATACGATTGCCGACTGGTGAGAGCAGAGAGTTGCCGTCAGGTGTGAAGACAAGGTTGCCTTGACGGTAGACAGTACCCAAGAGGTTTGAAAACTGTGACAGAGTATTAGAGTGATGGAATCAACAACGAGTCTGTCCTACAAACCTTAAATTCCGTCTTCATTGTCTCATGGCTGTGCAGTCCAGGTCGGCGCATGTATACACAATTCCCATTCTACCATCAACCAAAATGCGGCTTCGAAAAAAAAGTTATCGGAGAAAATGATTGATTTTCTCCGGAACTAGGACGCTTATGGTTAAGCGCACGCCGTGATCTGGGGCAAGCCTGCTAGTGAAAATTGGCGTTTCAGGGGCGCGACTTGTCCCTACACTTTCTGCGAGGATCAATTGAGGAAACCCCTAACCACGAACCACGTTGTCAATTTGAAAGTGCAGTCCTCCATTCTTCATTCTCTTCATCGTTTCTTCAGTCGGACTCTGACTACTGGTATTGTTGTCATCGTCCCCTGTGCCGGGTCTTTCTACTTGATTATCTCTCCTCAAAATCTGCGACCAAGATGGCTCCAGCTGCAGCGGAGTCTCCATCGCCCATTGGCATTGCCAATTTGCCTAACCAGCGACACAAGATCGTCGCAAAGAGAGGCGCCGCTTTCACTATCATGGTAGAACCAATGTCTTCCCAGTACGCAGGTCGGATGCTAACTGTTATTCAGGTCGCCGGCGAGTCAGGCTTAGGCAAGACGACCTTCATCAACACTCTCTTCTCCACCACCATCAAGAACTACCAAGATCACAAGAGGCGCCATGCAAAGCAGGTTGACAAGACAGTGGAGATTGAGATCACAAAAGCTGAACTGGAAGAGAAGTTCTTCAAAGGTACATTTCAGAAATAGCGCATCCATCCATGACACCAGTCTAATCAATTTGCTAGTTCGTCTCACCGTCATTGACACACCTGGCTTCGGCGACTATGTCAACAATCGTGACTCCTGGATGCCTATCATTGAATTTCTCGATGACCAGCATGAATCCTACATGTTGCAAGAGCAACAACCTCGGCGACAAGACAAGATCGACCTCCGTGTCCATGCCTGCCTGTACTTCATTCGACCTACTGGCCATACCTTGAAACCCCTGGACATTGAGGTCATGAAGCGGCTATGCACACGTGTCAACTTGATTCCAGTTGTCGCAAAGGCTGATACACTCTCTCCTGCTGACCTGGCCCGCTTCAAGCACCGCATTCGAGCTGTCATCGAAGCACAGGGCATCAAAATCTACCAACCCCCTATCGAAGATGATGACGAAGCTGCAGCACAACATGCCCGTGCACTTATGGCAGCCATGCCTTTTGCCGTTATTGGTAGCGAGAAGGATGTCAAGACCACGGATGCGCGCATTGTGAAAGGCCGACAATACGCTTGGGGTGTGGCCGAAGTGGAGAACGAAGAGCACTGCGATTTCAAGAAACTCCGATCGATCCTCATTCGTACCCACATGCTCGACCTCATTCACACCACCGAAGAGAACCACTATGAAGCCTACCGTGCGCAGCAGATGGAGACACGAAAGTTTGGTGAAGCCAGGCCTAGAAAATTGGACAACCCCAAGTTCAAGGAAGAGGAAGAAGCACTGCGGAAGAGGTTCACCGAGCAGGTCAAGGTGGAGGAACAGAGATTCAGAGCATGGGAGCAGAAGTTGATTGGCGAAAGAGATCGCTTGAACAAGGATCTAGAGGCGACTCACGCTGCAATTAAACAGCTAGAGCAGGAATTGGAACAGATGCAAGGCAGTGCCGTGAGAAGCCATGGTCGTCGCTAAGCGAGTTCCTGACTGGAAATCAACCAAACTTGACTGGGAGGTCGGCTACGATGGGCCAGGAGCAAGGGTTCTGGCAATTCTTTGCTTCAGGTGCTGTGCTGTGGGATTGTGAGTGTGCTCAAAGCGTGGAGCTCTTTCAGAGATTAGCATTGCTACGAAAATACCTTTCTAATGTCAGATCTTTCTTTTGTGGCGGGAGATTTTCTATCTTCTATCGTAGATGGTAATGACGCCGCGTGGTATCTTGAGTCTATCCGTGTTCTCCTTACGCTGCCGTGATTTCTACACACCTGCATTTTTCAATTGCTGCGTGATATGCCCGTTGGCTCCTCTCCCGCCCATTGGATCACGTTTCGGTGTGGTCGCTCCGTTCTCTTTTGTCTTGTCCACTGTCTGTGAGAAGTCGCCCTCTGCAACAGCTCTGTCCACATCCGCAAATCCCTCATCGATCTCGATTTCATCGTCCTCGTCGATGCCCATCCAAGCACGCATCTTGTCTCGTTTGAATGCTTCGAAATCCCACTCTTGCGGCTCCAACGTCTCTTCACCTTCCAGCCATACATATGTTTGTGCTTCGACTTCTTCCAGGACTTCCGGGTCGTTGCTGTCTTCTTCGGGTGCGGCCTGATCCAGTTCCACGTCTTTCAGGACTTGCACCTTCACCACGTCCCTCTTGTACTGGCTGCCCTCGAAGATGTCCAGGCGGTAGATATCACCCTGCGTCAGTCCCGTCACCAGGCTCCCCCGTACCCTGGAGTCGGAATGAGGTATGATGGCGGGGTAGTCTGCGTGTTTGACTCTGTGTCGACGGTAGTTTTGCAGCATGGCGGGACGCACGGTGATCAGGTCTTTCTGCCATGCCTCTGGAGTGTGGGTTCCGTGGATCACGCGGTGGAGGACGCCGGGGGCCATGAGCGTGCCTTTTGATGCCTTGGTTAGAAGGAGGAATGCGGGAGGAGAGGGTGATTACCATAGAAAAAGGCCGTGTAGTCGCCCATCTTTCCAGCAAGTCGGCGATTCCACGTAAATTACCTCGTACAGGGCTGGCACTGGTTGAGAAGCGATTGTGCTAGAAGGGAGCCAAAGGGTGTTTTGTTTGTATGAAGAGATTGGGAGATACTTAGAAGAATATATGGCATGAATCTAGGCTCCCGTATTCTGAGCAAACTCACCCCCGTGTAGCTCTGAGGCGAAAGTCGTGCCGGTTCTTTCTCTACCAGGTGAAGCGCCCACTGCCCCTCAAGGCTGGGTGGCTGCAGGTCGATAGCAATCAAGAATTTTCTAAGCAGGAAGGCGCGCCGATATCCGCGCTCGTGTTTGGTCCACACAACGTCTCTCCCTTTTTGGCAGTAGTAGTGTCCACCTTGGTTGCTGATGAGCATTTGCAACTCTGCGATCATGTGTTGTTAGTTCCTCTATTCGCATCTGTGTACGCGACCATCACTGTGGCGGCTTCGTCTCTGTCAAGAATAGTTTGTACAAAGAACTATTTAGTGACGCTGTTTGAGAGAAAGTACCAATCGTCTATGTCATGTATTTTCCCGAAACCTCTTAAGCTGACAACCCTGTGCTGGGCGCTCTTTATCGTATAGCTACCTGCCCTTTTCAAAGAATCGACTAGATCCACTAGCCACGAGAAATCAAACAGGTGAAATATTACCTTTAGCTCGATCACAATCGCTCTGTGGCATTCTGAATGCTGCTGCTCTTCCTTGTTGGAATGCGATGTGATGGCTTCTTTGCTTTCGAGGACATCGCTGCACCAAAGCGAAGTGACCATTGATGTAACACTTATGGCTCTCCTCAGTAGGCGTTGCAATGGTTACGAGGCTGGTGGTCAAAGGGGGGTCCAGCCTCGTGCATCCACCATCCACTGCCATCCAGCTTGGCAACCTCAAACTTTCCGCAAAGGGTAGGCGGAGCCCGTTATCTTTCCCTAGAATGAGCCTATGGCCTATGTCGGCATTTCCCATCACATCGATACTGGAAAGTATACTAGATACGAGTCTGCCCGTCAGTCATGTCAGATGCTGACAACTTAAATTCCATCTTCAGTCAATCCCATCATCCCAAACACCAGGAGGAAGCAGGACGATGTATCACCACTGACCTCTCAAGATATCTTAGTCGTCGTGGAAATTTGGCCGCTAGTGGTTGCTGAGCATGGAATACACAAAGTTATTAGCACCTTCAACTCCTGGTTGCTCTGAGAACTAAAATCACTTCCCAAGCAGACGTTAGACCTCTCAGGCTGGAAATATAAGGCTGACCAAGATGCGGGAAGGAACCAATATGGTTTTTGCATCTGATTGTGGCCAGCAGGTCGGTCAGCAGGCTGCCTCTTGCCAGGAAAGCGTCCTCGTAATATCCATTGTGTTATCCCAGACACACCGCATCGCTGCGGTGGGAGACTGATCTCATTATAGAACCAGGGAAATCTCTCCCACCTGAAGGAAAATACGACACTCTAGTCATACTACCACGACAGAACAAGAAGTGTAGCTGGAAACGATAGTGGGAAATACATTCGAGCATAGGCAGTACGAGATAAATCAAGAGCAGCCAGTCCAACGATGCAGCTCCTAGCATCGAGTATAGCTCTGCTGGCTCATCAGACACTTGGTGTTTCTGCCGCAGCCTTGAAAGCGCGGGTATGTTCCTGATCATCCCTCTCAAGTGTTTGTGGCTTGTTGACTGAATTTGAGGATTACAAGCTCACACATACTCAGATTGACTATAACCTCGCTGAAGACGACTCACAGTTGGCTACTTGCGGTTCCAAGCTGCACACCCGAGTATGAAACCCTCTGTTCCGACCCCAGCACCCTGCCATGTTCATCGCGCCACTAACAACCTTACGATCCTCGTCTAGGGAGACGACACTCTCCCTCTCGGCCTGACCTCCATCACCATCGGCACCGTGACCACCGCGACCGGAACCACCGTCCCCCTCACTGTCCCGTATTCGCTCTCGCGTGACCCTACTGTCTCGCTCAGAGGCAGCGGCACCACGGTCTTCGACAGTCCTCTCAGGAGCGCCACCTTGGTTTCCAGCGTCGTGCATGATTCGTCTTTCGCGGCGTTCTCGTCTGCCGAATGCATTTTTTACACCGGCAGTGTAAATCTCGGGCAAGGGGCGTCCGCTTGTGTTGGTGGTATCGTGACATCGGCATCGACTCATGACGACGGCTCGAAGGTGACGTTCGATGAAGTGGTGGTTTGTACGACTTGCAGCTACTCTTGACACGTGAATAATGGTCAAGACGTGTTGTGGAACAAATGCCGCGGTGTATTATTGGGATTGTACTTCTTCCGCTAAAATTTCATGTCAAAATAAAAACGCATGAATCGAATGCGAGAAACGATGGCGAAAAGATGGATTCGGAAGATGGACTGTATATCCAAGAAGCAGACGTAAGGTATAACAATTCATTCGATTGTATCAAGCATAAAGCATAAAGAAGTGCTAGGTAGGATATCAGTATGAAAAGCAATGCCGAACCTCGTAAACCTCGTCTCGATCAATGACAATAACCAGCAGCCCTGCCGTGACCGCATTCCTGAATCCTTGAAAAGCAGTCCTAGAACAATAGTCCACCAAGAAGCAACCCTCCAAGCAACCCTCCCGCAATGGGCAATCCATATCCACCTCCCGGATAAGCGCCGTATGGACGATTATAGGGATAGCCTGGTCGAATAAATCTGGCGTTGGGGTCGGCATATGGCCCGCTTGAATAAGGGTTGACACCATAACCCCTTGGTCCGTATCCGCCATATCCATAGCCAGGACCCCCGGGAGGCTCCACGTAGATGTTCTTGCCGTCTCTGTCTTTGGCGAAGAACTGAGGCTGACCTGTCATTTGTGCTCGCTGCATAGCTTGTCGCAGCCTCATATGTGCTTCGTAATATTGTCTCTCTTCTTCTGCGCGTTGCGCACGGCTGCGCACACGTTCCTCGTGCGTTGTGCCGGTGACTTTATCTTTCAGTTTCTCGCCAAAGGTCTTCTTTTGACCGGCTTGTTGTGAGGAGGATGGCCGGGCGGGGAGTTCTGGTGGGTATTGTTCGTCCTCGGAGTGGTCGGCGGAATGTGGTGCCTGTCTTCTCAACCTATCCTCTTCTTCTTGCAGTCTTTCGCGTTCCTCCGTGCTCAAGCTCTTCAGGACTTCGGGAATATCTAATGGGTGCTCCCAGTATGATTTGGGTGGCTCGACATTTGTATTCACGAAGAACTGGTGGTTCTCCTTGGGATCGTACTGCCGTACCCACCCTTCGGGTAAAGGTCTCTGAAGGTCTTCCATCGAGCGGCGGGCTTCTGTTGGGATCCCATTTTTTGCAGACGGCACTTCTAGGTGCGATGATTTCTGTCGTTTGGCGGATGTTGTGGCCGAAGAGCCAGTGGCCTGGTCGTAGGTTGGTGGGGGTTCTGCTGGCGCGGACATGTTGAGTGTAAAGATAGAAAGTGTAGGACAGGTTCAGAGTCGGTAGGGTGGTAGATTTAAGTGCCTACTGCTAGCTACCTGCGGAATCAGGGAGATGTGTAGAGAAGTGAGAAGCGCGACAGAAATACAAATCGCGGGTTGAGGCTCAGACGGTGATAGTGACGCAGATGGCCCTTCTCGGAGTAATCGGGAGCTGCGGTGCCTGAGAACCTGACCAATCAAGCTCACGCTAAGCAGGCTCAGCCACACTTGATCCACCAATGAAATCCCGGAAAAGAAGAGACTGTGGCGACCTCGCTTGACCCAATCAGGCGTCATGTTGCGAGTCGTGCGAGTCCAAATCCAACCTCCAAACTTCCTTCATTGCTTGCTTTACATCCTTTCACAGAGCTCGCCACCATCATGTTCGTCCGAGGACCTCGAAGTCTCTTTTTCGAATGTGAATTGGGACAACTTTGTCCTCGAATCTGCAACATGCGACCCACACAAATACCTCAGCGCCGCTGCGCTAGAAGTGGACACGAACAGCGATTCCATCATCCTAATGTGCTTACCTCGCTAGTGCCATCAGAACCAAACCCACGATAGACTCCAACGAAGCTTGTGTTGAATACACATGTAAGGAACAACTTTGCAGGCTCAGGGTCAGCGATCCGCTTTCGAAACGCCCTTGGGTTGGGCGAATTCGCGACCTCGAAGAGAAAGGCTGCCCTCTATGCAGGGCCTTCTGCTCTAACATTCTATATTCCATATTACCAATAGGATCGCTATACTAATAGCTAGAGCTATAAGGCACCATTAACCACCAGGACCCCAAAACCCCTACCAAAATTAAATATACAACTCCTGGTTCGGCGATCTGCACCGTAGCAGGCGATGCATTCAGCCGCGGCGACAACAGTAACATGATGCCTGGCCACTATACAAGCTCTGAGTTTTTTTTGCTACCGCCAAGAGATCAAAATGATTCAGGAGACAATGCTCGCGCTGGGTGAAGGTCGAAGAGCTTGGCAAATGGAGGTGAAGACAACCTGGGCTCATCGTCCACGACCAGTGATTCTGCCACACCCGATGTCAAATTTGGATCACTATACATTCACTTGACAGGCTTCTCTGTTTATCTGCCAAGACTATCTCCTGTCAACCAGAGGTCACAATCAATTTCGTTCCAATATCCTCTCCTGAAATTTCAGTCTGCCAAACCACACCTACCTCTTGTACAAGTCTTCTTCTTCATCGTCTTCAACTTCTTGATCAACCTTAAATCTGCAGCTTGCAGCCTGTTTCATAGAGATCGAATCTCGCAACGTTATCCGGGGGAAAGCAGCATCTTGCTGCTTGTCCCTCGGCAAGTTTCCACTGACACAATGAGAGCCGAAGCCGTGAGCTTCGTGTTCGAACATGTGTTCCTTCCCCCGAAACTACCACAAGAACATCACGGCGAATCAGGCGCTGATGATCTCCTGAAAGAGATCTTAGATGCCACGCGCGACTTTACGCTTTCCTTTTCTGTCTTTAGGCACGAGCGCCCCATCTGGAGGCGACTCTCACGTTCACTAGCCAAGTGGGTCGATATCTACCACCAAGGTGCCCCATGTCGCGAAGTCATTACTAGTACCCTTGAACATAGGCATCAAGATGGTGAGAGCTTTTACAAGGATCATCAGTCACTGCTAATCAGCCTTCCAGATGTTTTGCTTTTCTACATTCAACCCCAAAATGCCGCCATCCTGATTCGAAGCAAGCCAAACGGAGCCATCTTCGAGTGCTTTGAGGTGCTTGCAAAGACTGATGCGGTTCTCAGTGCCAAAGACGCCGTCATCCGACACTTCCCAGCACGATCGGTATTTTTGTCGAAGTCGAAACTCGAGGATTCTTCCTTTCTCAAAAGCCTTGGAGATGCCATCTATATGCTGTCAGTTGAACCATTGAAAATGGCTATGGAAACCACGAAGAAGGCAAACAATACTATGGTTGAGGAGCGGCAATCTGCCCATCCTCGAGCAGTCTCCGAGTGGCTGTTCAGTGTCTTGGGTGGCTGTGGAAAGACGGCGTCGAGTTTGCCCATCCGCAAACGCGTTCACGATGATGTTTGCTGGAAAAATGCCCACTTACCTTGGCGCCGGTCAGGTGTTTGGCTAGCTGCCAAGGTTGCCCTTCACATCGCCCTTGTCAACGCAGACCTCGAAGGTGAGGGACATTGCCATTACAAAAACTTCATGTTATTCTTCTTGTCTCGGATAGCAGCTGGTATTGCGGCCATTGACAATAGACCCGACATTCTCCACGTTCTGCGTGTGAAATTGGCTAGGCGTAATGCCAAACTGGGACTGTTCACGCTGAACTTTGTCTAAAAAGCCGTCAACTCGACCCTAGACCTACTCGACAACAGTATCCGCCGCCAATGGGCCGAGACTGTCGATAGAGACAGAGTTGTCGTTCGACCTGTCCCTCTCAGCGAAGTATCAGATCACCTGGTGTTGAAGAACAGTTGCTCCATAATACACAACATCTGGAGTCGCTCTCGAAAAGCTTTCAAGTACTCACTCACTTCTTACATCCCTCCGTCATCCGGTAGAATGCCGTTGTCAAAGTACCTACTACCGGAAGTCGAGATCTTTACACAGGCTAAAGACGTCCTCTTTTGTCTTGTCGACTTTGAGCTCTGGGTTGAGGAGTGTTTGAGCAGCTGGATAGCGGTCAACGTGTCAACTGCAGCCGCATGCCGCAGCCTGTATGGACTGATACAGAAGTATTATGCTTTAGCCAAGAAGAACTACCAGCTACATGCGGAGCGAATGTCCATTATGCTCCTTACGATGTTCGAATTGTGGATGGCCCTGGACATCATTGCAACTACTTCATATCCGCTCCTCTTGGAGTATCCACAGGAGATTCCTGTCACTCTCTTTGGACCTCTTCTTCTCAGTAATCGAACTGAACTGGACAGACTGTCAAAGGTGGAACTCTACATCAAATCAAGACGATTACGGTGTGCCCACACCAGTCCTTCTCTCTTCGTCGATCCGTCACCAGGCTGCTTCGCTGTGAGATTTTACGACCAATCTTCTGATCTGCAGGCCCTACGCGCTACGGTCGAAGAAGATGCTCATCAAGCACGGAGAGCTAAGTCTGACGAGTGGGAGTCGAAAAAGAAGACATTTGACGAAATGATGACAGAAGTCAGTGAAATGAAATGTGGCGTCTTCATCCCCAAAGGGGTCAACAGGTACGGAAAGCCATATGTTGGCAGGCCTAGACATGACAAGAAATGCCAGAAATGTAAACAGGAACAGCAAGCCAAGGACCTCCAGATATCCAAACACGAATGGCCACTCCCAGACGACGAGACCCTGTGCAAAGCAGTGATCTTTGAGCTTGCCGCCCCCGATGCGATTGTCTCCTGGCGAGATGCCACATTTTTCTTACTTCAAGATGTTTGCAGAACCAGCCAAGTCACCGGGTCGGCGTCCAACCAGGGACTACTCTCGTACGGACCACTTGAGAAGTACGCCCAACGGAGAAATCGACGGATCACTCTTGCATCCTCGGTAAAGCCCGTTCTGAAATCACACTATCTCAAGGCCTCATTAAATGTTGACCCCGTCTTGGTCAGCAACGGCCTTCGCCCTAGGATGCATGATGCTTCGAATCTGGCTCTATGGACGGCAGACCAGACCGGAAATCCTTCGTTGCGAAGCCATTGCTATACCAAAGCCACAGACTCTCCAAACAGTGTCTTTAATGGCTATGCCAACTTAACCAGCCATACACAAAATCAAGTCATCTCTCAACAGTCCAAGTGCCCTAAAGAGATGGGCTCTCATGAATTTGTGCTCTTGGGATCGCTAAGATCTGGGGAAAGACTCCAACTACTCAATGTTCTTGGAGCAATCACCTCCGCAGAAATCGACCTCAACTCTCCCTCAACAGCTCTTGTCTTTCGTTACGCTATCTCTCAAGTTGGTCAAGCATGTCCTACCTCGCTGCTACGTGAATCTCAGGCTGTACTTGAGGAAGAGCACTTCACGTCTTCGTTGCTGGACGCCCTCAATAGTGCATTTAAAAGAATAGAAGCGAATTTTAAAGAAGTGGCGGCGGCGGCTATATTGCTAGAAGTGGCCCTCAAGGTTATGTCGCTGTCGTCGTTTGAAGACGCCACAAAGCGCTGCATGGACCTTGTTCTCTGGATTCGTCGCTCTGGTCTATGTTGGATACGCCAGATGACCAAACTCTACGCTGAACGGAAAAATGCTCGTGCTGACAGCTCTACTCTCGGAGACCTTTCACGTCAGATATTGCATGCATGCATTCTTTGTCGTCACACGTATACCGTCGATACAGAGGCGCAACCTTCCATGTTCTCTGACCAGGATGCTGTGGCAGACTATGTGGAGGCTTCTGTTCACTTGCACACGCACCGGAAATCCCAGCCTGCCACAAAGTCTCCCAGCAGTGAAGCACAGCTTTTGAATGATGCGTACCTTGCGAGACGAAACCACAAACATCTTCAAGCCAGCCTTGAGCTCCATCAGTTCGCAATTACAGATGGTATCAAGAGATTTTGGACAACAGCTAGGTTCACCAACAAGTGGCAGACAGTTCACTCAGATGATTCCTCCTGGATTTCAAATCGGACTTCTTCTAAAGTCGTTCACTACAATCTAGTCTCCGGCAGCCTTCTTGTCTCCGGACGGGCGATTTCTCAGCTACCTGCTCGGTATACTTCTGATCCACTCTACCGCTCCATCTTTGGCGATGTAGACTTGGACGTTTTCGCTGCTGATATCGACGACATGGAGTACATGACCAAGGATGATTTTCATGGCCATCGTGTCTATTTCGGCTTGCGTGGTGACGTTCTACTCATCCGTTCGCAGCAAACCGATAATACTTTCGAGGCAATCAATCGCAATCACTTTCTAGAAGACCTTCCGCGAGTTATCGTCGAGAACACTACCCCTTGGATGTCCTTGCGTGACGGCACCGTGGTTTTCCGTCCTCGGGCGCGACCTTTCCACTCAGAAGAATGCAACTGGATCCTGAGCACTAATCTTCATGCAAGGTCTATGACATCCATGTATGCCGGCCAGAAGTATTTGATAGATACCCATAGTTCAGTTGGGTCAACTATTTGCGAAGCTCTCAGACCGATTGAGCAATCGGCACACATCCTCATCACATCCAGCCAAAACACGATAATCGAGATTGAGCTTCCTCGCTATCACCTGCATTTTTACGTCGACTTTGAAGGTCGTATGGTTTGCAAAGAGCTTTCTGCCTTCATAGACTTTGACCAAACATTAGGAACACTCTATGGATTCAAGTCTCGTCTAATTCTGCGATCGACGAGTAAGATTGCTGGATCAAACCTGAGAACAGTTCTCATCCCACACGGTGATGTGAGAATAGTTGCCGCACCGCCTCATATCTCCGCTCAGGTCCAGCTGGGAGGCACCGATTCTGTTACCTTTTCGCAGTTCCGCGTCGATGCTAGACTCGGGCAGCTAATTGGTCAAGATCTGGAAGCACATCTCTACAAGGCATACCTACATGCGGTGACAAGCTTTGTGGAGCCTGACTCTCTGACCGGCAGGACGGGCACTGAAGAGAGTCTGTTCGCTTTGTCGGATGCCATCTGCTACACATGCCAGCCATTGTCGCCGCGTGCCCATGCCATATTATCTTTGATTGCTCGGCTTACACCAGGGAGGAGCTTCTACCCTCCCCATCTCAAAACTATGCAGACCATCACTTTTAACGGTGTCCTACCAGTCATGGCCCAACGTGATATCTTCTTTGGGACAGTCCACGCTATTATCGCCCACAACATGAAAGCAGATTGGTTGTTTGATTCTCAAGTGAGTGCCATATCATACAATGGGGACTATGCATTGTTGGACAGATCACATCACCGAACACGAAAGCTTTTCCCAAGCGAAGCTGTTACATCAACCTCTCTCCCAGTCGAGGACAAAGATTATCGTGCACGGGATCGAGATCTAGATGACCACTATTATGCGTCGGCTGCTATGGCCAACCTTATTGAGACCTCGCCTTCCACGTTTGATGTCAGTACATCTTGGAAAAGTACAATTCAGCTTTGGAAAGATGTCAAAGGATTCAACGAGGAATTCACCTTCAACTCATTTTCAGGTCTTTTGAGCCAGGACCTTAAAGAACTCTTCCCTCGTCTAATGAGCCTATGCAGATCCCCGTCTGCCTCAAAAGAAAATGTCATGCTGGTCTTGTCATTGTTAGTATTCAAGCAACCTGCGATTGAAGCGCAGTTGAGATCACTCTTTGCATTTGCGATTTCGCCTGTTCTCAGGGGCCTCCCAGCCCCGGAACACGATTCATACGACTTGAGAGACGGCTACAGCTACAATCACAAGGAGATCTCGACACTCATTTTTCAATGTCGGAAACCATTCATCCCGAGCAAGGCATCCGTAAATGCGGAAAACGATGAAGAAGCGATCGCGGAACAGCGACGGCAGTTTGATCAGGAGCTCAACAATCAGCGCGAGTCGATCCTGGAAGCTGCACAAGAATCCTGGCCGAATGACACCGTTCGATTCCCTCCAAAGAGGTCTTTGAATCACTACGAGATTTCGGATCTGAAAATGCTGCTGAATGGGAGGTTTGCCGTTTGGCACAAAAATCATGTCTTTTTGCAACTCCTCGAGAATTACGACAATGAGCTCAGAGGTTTTAGCAGCGTCTGGAATGGCCAAGATGTCCCGGACCTCATTGTCGACCTCGGGCCTGCCAGCCCTTGTTTACGTCAAAATACTCACTTTTCGCTGCTTGACCTCATGGTCGTGACGCCAGTCACCATGCAGGCTTTCAGCGACAGCAAGCCTACTGAATTAGATGGAGATTTGTCATCAGAGCTTGTGTCTCGAAAGACTACACCTCAATTCCTGGATTCTAACCAAGCTCGTTCTAGCTTGGAAGAACTAGAAGCTATTGCTGAAGAGTTACTTTCTGATACCTCTACAGCCGTACGTGATTACGGGAGTTTTTTGAATGACAGCAACCAGGCTATGAAGTGCCGGTTGGGCCAGGACACGATCAAGATGGAAGTGCCTTCTGGTGAGGTTCTGGCTAAAAAGCTTGAGGAATCTAGAGCCCGAATCTCCTACATTCTTGGTCGAACCCGCAAGTTATTGAGACCGCGTGTCGACACGCAAGAGGCTCTCGTAACAGCAAGACTCTGGCCACAGGTGTCTGAGTTGACATTGCTTCAGCTCCTCTCCGCTGACAATCGAAAGAAAGTACCTTCTTGCTGGATATCTGTTCTTCTCCAATTTGCAAGAGAGATTACGGCCGCTCAACGTGTGGAAAGATTACAAAAGTTCCTTGCTGCCGATGATGCGTTCGCTCTCAATAACGAGCTTGCAAATCCTGCACACTCTGCATGGTCGCCAGAGGAGTGGCCTGACTGGCTCCTTCTCGAGTGCCAAAACAACTTTCTCATTCGACCTGTGCAGATCCGTGTAGCAACTGAATTGCTCAAGCCGGAAAATGGTACTGTTCTCCTGGGTATGGGTGAGGGAAAAACAAGTGTGATTTTAAATCTTGTGGTAACAGCACTTGCTCAAGGTTCGCATCTCGTTCGAGTCGTCGTGCTGAAACCACTTGCACAAGAAATGCTCCGGATCTTATCACGCTCTCTTGCAGGCTTGGTGGGCAGGAACCTCTACTATCTGCCCTTTTCCAGGCAGACCAATTTAACCGCCGAAACACCCCAGCGACTGATGAGCCTGTATCAGGAATGCCGGGAAGGGGGAGGGGTACTGCTGACTCTACCAGAATACCTGAACTCTTTTCGCCTTGTGGGCATAGATAAGCTGACACCGGACACTCACCATCTTGCTGCCAACCTCATCGACGTTCAGAAATGGCTTGATTGCAATGCTAGAGATGTCCTCGACGAGTCCGACGAGCTGTTGAAACCTGGATACGAACTTGTCTACACGAGTGGGGAAGCAAACCTTCTTTCCGGAGCGCCAGACCGATGGAATGTTTCGTTGGAAGTCTTGTCTTTGGTCCAGAAAAATGCGTATGCGCTTTTCAACCAGTGTCCAACCGGAATCGAAGTTGAAGCCCGAGGCCCAGGCGCTTTCCCCCATTTCAGAGTGCTCAACGATGATGGCGCGGCGGCAGTGGCAAAGTTCGTGACTGAGGCCATCGTCAATGGACAGCTTTCATGCCTTTCTCTCGGCCACTGCGATCCAGAGGTGCTTCACGCCATCAGCTCGTTCATTCTCAATGTGGACGTCGACGCGGCCCAATGTGAATTGATCACCCAACACTTTCGGAACTCCTCCAGACTCAACCTACTCTATGTGGCCAGAGGTCTGGTATCACATCAAATTTTGAGTCATGCTCTGCACAAACGCTGGCAGGTGAACTATGGGCTGGATCGGACTCGAACTTTGAGCGCAGTTCCGTATCGTGCCAAATCAGTTCCATCACCCAGTGCTGAGTTTGCACAGCCGGAAGCGGCAATCATCCTGACCGCAATGTCATTCTATTACACAGGCATTCTTCACCAGGACTTGAGGAGATGCCTTCTTATCTTGCTCAAGCTGCCAGATCCCGCTGACGCATACCATAATTGGGTGAAACATTCCAAGATTCCTGAAAAATACCGCAAAATCAACTCCATCAACCTAGATGATGCCACTTGCGTGGATACTCTGTACGCCCATCTACGCATCAACAGCGAGTTGATCAACTTCTTTCTCCGACACGTTGTATTCCTTTCGGCAGCGAAAGAGTTTCGATACAAATTGTCCACCTCGGCTTGGGATCTGTGTAGAAACGAAGGAGTGCTTACAGTTGGCTTCAGTGGCACGTGCGACAGCAAAATACCAATCATACAGAAGGATCTTCCGGACTTGAGACACATCACAGCGTCAACTCTGTGTACCCTGTTGAGGTTTGATAACCGGAAATACTTCTGTGCCGCATCACCATCTGGTCAGAGGCTGACTACGAAGAAGTTGCTGCAACGCATCACTGCAGACGGACCACTCGATGTTATCATCGATGTGGGAGCTCAAATGCTAGAAGGAAATCTAGAGATCGCCCAGTTATGGCTGCTTCTGAGGCCGGAGAAGATGGCCACCATTTACTTTTCGGAAAACGACGAAAAGATGGTATTAAATCGTGATGGCTCAACCGAACCACTTGCGTCTTCCATCTTCAAAGATGAGCTGAGAAGCTGTCTAATCTTTCTCGACGAGTTTCATACCAGAGGAACCGACTTTCTGCTTCCCGACAACTTTACCGCCGCCGTTCTGTTGGGACCAGGAATTCTGAAAGATAACCTGGCACAAGCCTGTATGCGCATGAGGAAGCTTGCCGTCTCTCAACGTGTCAGATTCTATGCTCCCCCAGAGGTCGACCAGGCAATTCGAAGCGTCAATAAAATTCCGACCGGGGAGCTTGACAGCCTGCATGTCGTCCGTTGGGCTATTCACCAGTCTTGTCTTGCTCTGAAAAAGCAAGATCCTCTTTACATATCTCGAGGGTTGCTTCACTCACGGCGGCGACTTGCTGCTGCCCGGCACATTTCGTCTGACGGAAAGATTGTGGATTCTCAACAGTATCTGAATACAGTTCGAGAACGAGAATGTCGCCCCGTCACTGAGCTGTATTGCGTGGGCGGGCATCACCGAGCTGAAATGCCGTTCCAGCCGACTCTCCAGGAGAATCAAGATTTTGTTATTCAAGATCTGTGTCTAGAGATCGAACGAATTGGGTCAACAGACATTGACGACAGCGGGATCACGCAAGAACAGGAGCGAGAGGTCTTGCATGAAATTGAAGAAGAGAGAGAGGTGCAACGCCCTCGAGAGGTCCGTCCTGCCACTCCCAGCGTCTGTCAGGCCTTGCTGGATTTTATTCGAAATGGCCGGAATGGAGCTACTCTCGTCAAGCCCACAGAACTCCGCCCATGCTTCGAAATCCTGGTGCAGACCCGCCTCAGGCCTTACTACACGCCCTCGGAGTCTCCCACGCATGTGTGGGTAACTCTGGATTTCATGCGAACCATTGAATCTCATGACGGTTCTCGTGACGACGGTTTTTTGAGACCAGTGCAGTGGGTGTTGAAAATGGAGGGAATGGCACAACCTGTCATCATCAGCCCGCATGAAGCCAACGCCTTTTTGCCGGACATTCAGCGGTCGAAGAGATCGACCTTGTACATGTATCAGGCCCGTACCTCTCGGAACATGGCGTCGTTCGATGGCCTCGACATCTGCAAATTCCCGGCGAGAAACAATTCTGGCGAGATCAGCCCACAAGCCATTGCCCTGCTCGGCCTTTTTGCAGGTCAGCTGTACTTTTCTTCCTTTGAGCATTACCGGGAATTTTGTACGCTGACGGGGCTCTTTGATGGAGAGCGACCACTCCGCAAGCGACAGGTGGCAACCGACAACTTTGTGTCGCCTTCTTGTCGAAAAGCGAACGGGTGGACCGAATGTACTTTCCGGACCAGCCCCGTGCCTTGGATCAAGGAATTCATCGATATGCGACGAGCCGGAATCGAATGGACCCACACCCATATGGGACGAGTCATGGATGGTAAGATCTTGCGGAGGGAGGATTTTGAAGAGGTCGAAGAGGATTTCGAGGGCGAGGCTGTGGTGCACGACATGGGTGAGCTGAGTCTTGGTGAGCAGGAAGAGAATGAATAGTCGCTATTACGGAAGCGGAGTGGAAATGTGAGTTGTGGCGCGGCTCAACGCAGCGGGTATCAGTACGCTTCGTGCACCAGGGCTGGACTACTTTCGACGCTTGTCAGAGTCTACTTGGAGTGTTCAGTGGGTGATTGAGTCGTTGGGCCCAGTTGGTGGGATGCTGGATGGACAGAAAGAAAGCTTGCTATGGATCCACAAAGGCGAATCATCGAACGGACGAAACACCAGGGAAGATTCGCTGGATAAGTCGAGCTTGACCTAACATTCACCACTCAGATGATTGCTGGAACTTAGGCCGAAAACGATGAAACCAGGTGGAACAAGACCAGAAATCCCCCCCAAAAAAGGAAGTAATAGGATATGCAGAAACCCAGAAAAGAAATAAAAAAATGTTTTGAGTAAATGCCGTTCTTTCCAGAATTCCGCATTGCAAAGTGTCTCGCATTTCCATATTTATATATGCGTACGCTGTACTCGGTGCACACATCTACGAGTCATGGTCCGAGATACCAGACTTGGCCTGCTGGGCAACAAGCGGCTTTTCAAAACACCATGGGCCGGCACCATGATCACTGATGTATTAGTTCCGAGTTTCCCCGGGATCTGGGTCCAGAGCTCCAAGGAGGAGGACCATGGGTTGTCGGTCAAGAGACATATCTTCCGCCGTCGACGTTGAATCCGGCGCCACTGTATATCCCCATCCAGAGTCAGCCAGAGAGCGAGTCAGCCAGTCAGTCAGTCGTCCCGAGCAATTTTTCATCGGTTGTGACCATGTTTATCCTTTTTCAGGCGAGAGAGGAAGATGGAGGGCCTAGGAGGAGAGAACACAACGTACGTGATATATCTCGCTTCATCCGAGGCCAAAAAAGCCGTCATGTTGGCGACGTCTTCGGGTTCGCAGAGCCGGCCGAGCGGGAGGGTCGCGAGGCGTTTGGCTCGTCCTTCTTCGTCCTCTTCTGTGAAGGCAGAGTCGACTTTTCCGAGGACGCGGGGGGCCCTGTATATCAATCAACACAAATAGAAAAAGGTTAGTTACATAGTAAGGTAAAACGAGGGTGAGGGAGAGGGAGAGGATGTTCAGCTCTTGGTCTGTTCGGGCTCTTGAAAAAGACTTGATAATCGCCCCCCTCCTCCTTCCTTCCAAGAGAAGAAGAAAGAAAAAGGCCTCGTTACTGACATGGGTGTGTTCCCAAACGACGGTCTCACGATATTAAAGCGGATTCGGTCTTTGGCATACGCGCCGGCGAGACCCTCGGTTGCCTGGAATCCCTCTCAATCACCACTCGGTCAGTCAACTCAAAGTCACCATCACATCATTTGTTCTTCCCTTGGGCAATTACTACCCATCCAAAACAACCTGGGTTTCAGAGAAAACCGTGGGCACTGGACAAAGACCGGACAGGAAAAGACAGTAACTGATACGCACGCACCGTATCCAAAGCGCCCTTACTCGCCGTGTACCAGATGGTGCTGGCCCTCGGCCTCCTCGACCCAATACTCCCAATGTTGATGACATGGCCCGCCACTTTGCCGGCGATCCAGCACGGCACCACCACCTTCACCGTCAGGTACAGCGGCTTCACATTGACCTGCCAGACGCGGTCAAAGTCGTCCTCGGGCACGGCGTGCGCGTCGGCGCCCAGGTGCACGTAGCCCGCGCAGTTGACCACCGTGTCGGGCAGGGCGGAGAATTTCTCGCGAGACAAATGGAGGGCGTCGTGCCATGTCTGTTCGTGCGAGACGCTTCCTGTGAATGGGCAAAAATTTGGTGAGAGGTTGGTGGGAAGGGAGTTGAGAGTCGCGTTGTTGCCGGGCTGGTTGATGTCGATGCCGAGGACAAGGGCGCCTTCAGAGAGGGCTTTTTGGACGATCTTCAGACATTACATTGGTGTATTGTCAGAATAGGATTTCTCCCGCTGGGAGGAGGGGGGGGGGGGGGAGGGAGAGCAAAAGTACAAGGACAAGCAGAAGACAAAGGCAATGAGAGTGTAGGTAGGTAGGTAAGAAACTCACTCCCCTGCCAAACCCCGATCCTGACCCCGTCACAATCATGACTTTGCCGTCTAGCCTTCCCATCTTGTTGGGTTTGTCTCCAATCAATATCAAAATGGAAGATGTTGGCCGGTGCTTGGTTGCTTCTTAGTCTCGGTCGGGAGCCAGCCAGACACTTCTATTTCTTTACCGCGCGGTGCGATGTCGAAGGTACATAGATGCAAATACAAATTACAATCTATTTTACCTCGGACACAGAATGCTTTTTCTCCAAACAACGGCAAGGCTATTTACTGGATTCGCTGAATGACCCGTGTCGGGCTATGGAATAACGGGATCATCTCCCCCACACTCCCATCCGGTTCGACTCCAATAGATTCGGTTTTCGGGTGCGGGCAGAACATTGATTGATATACAGGTGCGTATGCATGTATGAATGTTATGGGTCTCGGCTATGGATTGTCTCTTTATGTAGTGAGCGGCAGTGGCTCCGTTTCGGTAAATGGACACCTCCATACTCGGATATGCTGGGTCGAGTTTTGATCTAGAGGGTTGATCACTATTGCCCCCTCCCTGGCGGCCATGTTGTATCATATCATACGATAACAAATATTGCAGCATGCGCTACATGTCCCCGACTACACGAACCATCTCTGACCATCCACGCCATCTCAACCCAGGAGTTTGGATTCTCCTCCCCACGCTACACCTGAGACCCTCTTCCTCTTGACTCCAATACTCACCTCCTTCCATACAATGAGAACAGTTTGATTACGAGCTCAAACATGCCCCGGACACTGCCCCCCTTGCAACGCGCCGCGGAAATCCCTCAGAAACGTCCACATGGTCTTCTCGCGCCACCCGCGGGCCTTCCACGCGTTGGCCCGCTTGGGGTAGAGATCGACCACGCCGGCGATGGTGTCGTCGTGCGCGGCGACGAACCAGACGTTGTCCTGGGCGTCGGCGTCCTGTGCGCGAGCGATGGTGCGCAGCGCCTCGTCAAAGTCGCTGGTGAGCACGGGGTCGAAGAAGGCTTGGTCGACGGCGCGGCCGCGCGACGTCTGGAGCGTCTCGAGACTCTGGAGCGTCACGGTGCCCAGACCCTCGCTGGAATGTTCCGCGGCGACGGATGCCGCGGCTGAAGACAAGCTCAGGTGTTTCGAGGGCCGGAGCTCGCCGCCGTGGTGCGTCAGGTCGCCTCCCAGAAAGGCAAACGTGTCGGGGTTCGACGTGGTGCGGACGAGACCGCCCAGGTGGCCGATGGCGTGGCCGGGCGTGTCGAGCAGGTAAAAGGAGCCGTCGCCAAAGTAGTCGAGGGCGCGGATCTGGCCGACCTGTACGGTGGGTGTGTTGTCAAAGTCGATCTCGCGCAAGCGTCGACCACTGCCAGTAGACGAGGGGTTTAGTACTTTCGGTAGAGCGACCCTTGTGGTCTGGACGGTGGGTGGACTTACTCCAAATCTGTCTGCCGTATCGGCGACTGAGGACCCGCTGGATACGCTGGGAGGAATGCTTTGCTGAAGCCCGGTCCGACGATCAGGTCCGTAGTTGGGGGAAAAGGCTGGACGTCGCCTTGATGATCCCAGTGCCAATGACTAGACAGCGGTGATATTAGTTCCTTGACAACTTTCTCCCTAAGAATTATCAGTCGTTCACGATGGGCTCGATGACTTACCTCCAAACCACAGCCTCGATGTCCTCCAACCGCAACCCTCCCCCCTCTGAGCCGGCACTCTCGAGCAAAACCTCGGCCGTCGTCTTGGGCACCTCGACCTTCCACCCGAACGTTTTCAACCTCCCAGAAACCACGGGCGGCATGGCATAGACGTCCTTGGGCACGCCGAGGTCGAAGAGCACCTTCCTCGTCTTCCCTGAGACGGTGGTCTCGATCAAAAACGACCAGCTCGGGACTTTGGGGAACGTGTGGAAGGTCGGCAGGCTCGGTTTCACCAGGTGGTCGGCGCCGAGGCCCTCGATGGTGCCGGTCGTGTCGACGATCCAGAAGTTTGCGACCGCGCCGGGGGGGACGGGGAAGAGGTGGCCATCCACACCTACGGTACTTGTGGACGTCATTGTCTAGGTCCTTATGTCTGGGTTCTGAAGGTTTGTGTAAAGAAAGATTTCTCTGGTCGAAATACCCTGTGTGTAGTAGTGTGAAAGAGAACTTCAACAACCTACATCGGCATTACCGAGCCTGACAAGCACTTTTGTATCCTTCCAAGAAACTATAGGCATGTTTACTACCGTGGACAGAAGGCCATTTGGAGAAGAACCTTCGAAGCAAACCCCAAATCCACCGGCAAACGAGACAGAAACGTATCCCCGTATCCCGCACAACAACGTCGAGATATAGCCGAAAGCTGATTCTGATGGAGTGGAAGCGGGGTGAGGAGATGGCATTCTGAGCAAAGTCTTTTGAACCGAGCTCACCAGATACGCGTGTTTACTGGAAAAAGATTGTTCTGATATCTATTACTGATACCTACCTAGACTGGTCATGTTAGGAACTAGCTGACTGGCTGACTGGCTGGTTGGGAGGTTGGTTCGATCAACATCTATTACCCCTTAACACAGCCAATTTAGACATGGTACAAAGAAATCGCATTGCCCAGAATTTTGTTATTTCAAAGTACGTACAGATTCGCCAAGGGCGTGTATTGCCTCTCTTCTTCTGGTTCAAGAAGAAAATGAAGCTGGCGATCGCAAAGAATGTTATACCTCGCCTCGTCAAGCACTACAAGACTACCTATACCTATATAGCGATGTACTTGGGTATATCATTCACTCTTTCCCCTAGCCTACCCACGGTAGTATCAAGTCCCGTCCTACTTACCTACTAGGTGAGAGAGGCCAAATCTACATGTCCCTTCTATATCTGTCTATATATGTATAGCTTGCTGTCATGCACCAAATCCGGCCTATGATGATTAGAACCACCCACGTAATCCACAGCCTCAAATCTCGATCTCAGATCCCAGATCCCAGGTTTTCAATATTGGCTCACTCGACATTCTAAGCCGCCGTAGCCCGCCAATGACTCCGCAAGCCCATGACAGTCGCCACCAGACTCAACGTCGAAGAGATGCCCTGGTTCATGCCGCGAATACCCTTCGGGGGAAGGCTGATGTGCAGGGCGATCGGGAACCAACACGCCGAGATGAGGAGTTCGTTCCAAAACTTGCGATAAAACTCTTCGGTGGCGGCTTCACCCTCCTCCCCGTCTCCCTCTCCCTCTTCATGTCCGTCACCATCTGGCCTTCCACCGCCCTCTCCATGTCGACTAATACTCTGCCTGTTCCTCCTCCTCCTCCTTCTCCCCCCCTCCCGCCTCCTCACCAGGTCCGCCTCCCTCGCCAACCGGAGAAAATTAGTCACCACGCCCAGACACCACGCGCGGTAACTCCAGACGGCCCAGCGCGCGAAGCCGCCGCGCCTCTCGACCAGCGACGACGCCGACGCGGGCAAGAGCCCTTTACTGTGCAAGTGGCACAGGTTCTCGACGGCCTGGAAGACGATGTACGCGTGGCACTGGACGAAGAAGAGGCCGCGCAGGACGGGGTCCAGGGCCTGGATGGCCGGGTTGGTCGTGGACATGAGGAGGCGGAGGCGCGTGTAGAGCGGGATGAGACCCGTGAGGCGTTGCGACTTGCGCCAGTCGGAGATGAGCGAGGCGAGGGACGCGAGCGAGGTGAGTACAGGAGGTGTCGTGGCGGCGATGGCGGCAACGGCGGCGGCAATGGCAACGGGCACCCGCTGTCCCTGTCCGTGCCTCCGTCGTGTGCGCGTCACATATCGAGAGACCAGCGCAGACCACCACACCGGAAGTCGCACCGAGAGGTATATCGCGAGGTTTGCCGAGAAGTTGATGGTCGCGAGCAGCGAGCCCAGCCCGGCCGTCGTCGAGATCAGTCTTTTAAGTCCTTGGTGTCAGCCCTGGAGATTCTTTCCCCCCCCCCTCTCTCAAACGGTAGGCGAGTACCGCTGATGAAAAATCAATACAATCTACGAGGTACATACTTGTTCAAGCGCACGGCAATGTCATCACTGCCACTGCCACTGTCACTTTTGGCCTTTGCCTTTGCCTTTGCTCCTGTTGTCCCTGGCCCCGTCTCTGGCAACGGAGGTTCATCTGGATCTGCGTCTGTAACTGCGTCTGCGTCTGCCTCTGCATCTGCGTCGATGTCTGCATCTGGGTCTGCCTTGAACATCGGATCAACGACATCTTGTTCCGTCTCGTCCATATCCGAGGGACTCGCGAGGGCGGCATCCACGTCCGCGTCCGCATCCGCTCCAACACCTGCCATCTTGTCTCCTGGCTGGTAAAGTCTCACCCGCTCACAGGACAACGGGACACTTTGATCGTTATCGACTCGAGTATGCGGTATTGTCCATCTAGCCACAAGGGTTTTTTCTCATCTAAGGTCGCTGGTGTTGATGTTGATGCGGGTCCTGGTATCTGGTGGGACGCGCTCGGCGTTTCGGGTAACTACAAGTATTAAGCGATAAGGTCACTGATCTTCAGCCGAGGCTCTGAGAATTAGATTCCGGACTAGTCAAGTTGGTCTACCGTCCGGATCAGGCTGGATCTACCTGGAATAATAATAACTATCAAGTAATTATGCCCAGGCAGAAAACGTGATGGAGCCTTTGCGAGTAATTGGTTAGAAGCGAACTGAACATCGTTGGCGGGATGGGGTCTATGAAAGGGTTCGTGCCCAGGGGACCAGCGGTACGAGGCTGGAATGTACTGATTTACTTGAACGCATTGCAGGGTAGTTGGCGAGGCTGCGGTGTTAATTACAAGGCTGCACCTTGTCAGGGGCTGTCGAGTTACATCAGCTACTTTCCCGTATCACTTCTAACGTGAAATGATTGGAAAGTATCTCAAACTGATCGTTGAAGCTGTGGCAGATACAGACTATGCAGAGGGATCCGTCTTGACTGGGACAAAACCTCGTCACCGCTGGCAGGCGAACGATGACAACCTCGCATGTCTCTCTTCCCCATATTACCAGGTACTGTCCTCTGGCCACCCTCACACTAAGTCTTGTCATCTCCATCCTCGCCCAGCAATATCCTCCATAGTCGCCCCCCTTCTCCCTTGCCACCGTTATGTCCACCGCGGAACCCCTGGCCAACCACATTCACCAAGACATTATCCTTTCCCATCTTCTCCAAAAACACGCTCTCTGGGCTTCCTCGGGGAAAGCATCGCTTCCATTCGTTCCATATCGCGTACGCTTCTTGTGCCCAGGCACGAAACGATTCAGCCTCGATGATGGTCGGCGTCAAGATTTCGCGCGAAGGGAACACGCCCCAGGTCACTGCGTTGACCGTATTCGTTGGCGAGGAAGTCGAGGTTGAAGTAGCGACTTTCTGATCTGCACCTGGTGAAACAGAGGCTGGTTTGGAGTTTTCTTTCTCGGTATCTGCGGCTGCCCGTGTCTTCTGGTTCCGAGCTTGGTCCCGAGCTACAAGCTCACTGCTTTCAAATAATCCCTCGGCATCGGTCTTCATCCAGCCCAACACGTCGCTCCCGTGCTTCATCAGGCGTGGCCGCAGCTTATCCTCCCACTCATCTCGCCCACAGAAGAACTCGACAAACGCCTTTTGAAAGACAAATCCTTCGCCTGGAGGACCCCAGCCAAACACAGGATCAGAAGAGGGCGCGCCGTCGACGGCGGGTTGAGAGGCAAGCGTCCAATAATTCTGGCGACTGATGAGGGATATCAGCTCTGCCCGAATCACGTCTGTCTCAGCACGGAGCGCGCTGGAAATCGTAGAGCCATCGGCAGATCCCCCTCCGGGCGAAACGAGATCGGGATCGATGTCATCACTCCACGGCACGGCCGCTAGCTCCCCCAATACGTGGCGTCTAAACAGTTCCGTCACATCTTGTCTGCTCCTCGGATAGCCCCACAACTTCCTCGCCATCAGCGGACTGACTTTCAGACTCGGTCCGTAGCCATCAATCTCCCCAAACGCAGGCGAGTGTGAAGGGCCCCAACGCCCATTAGGAAAATCGTCCCACGTCGCTTCGCGCCCTAAAGAGCCTTGTCCTTCCGATATGAGCAAGCTATGCTGCCGGGTGGGAGATGCGGCAGGAATTCCAGTCCCACGGTCTGTCGCTAAATGTTGAGATGTCAATTTCAAATTCGGATTGGGTCCCAGTCCAGGAGGGTCACTGTCTGGGTCAGGTCGACGAGATTCTGTTCGGGGTTCAGATCTCCGATCGGTTATCACACGGTTGTGGGGCTGTGCGTTGACAGAACTTCTCCTTCGTCGCACAAAGCCAGAAGGTTGCTCTTCGTGCCTATCTTCCCCCAGCCCAGTCGTGACGATGGCCGGAGTACTTTGCTTGCTGTCGTCGACAACCACGTCTGAATCAGATGCCGAGTCCCCATCCTTGTCTTCGACACTCCCTTCACTTGAGATTGTGGGAATCAGCCCTGTTCTCTCTAGGATGAAAGATACACTCTTCTCCAGATTCAAAGTATAAAAATGGAAACCTCGAGGCAGTCCTTCTGGCTGCGTCAACGTCTTCATCTCCTCAACCAGTTCTGAAAGAATGTCAACCCCGACCTTCTTGACCGCCTCATCGTCCGACTTCACACGTTCGATTCGCTCGGAAATGTCCTCGGGCAGTCTTGCGTGGCTGAGCTTGGTGATTCGTTTGATGATTTGGTAGGACTGGATGGGCATGAGACCGGGGATGATGGGGATCTTTTCAAACAACCTCTTCCCGTCTTGGTCGGTGTACCCTCGCAACCTCTCCTCATATGCGGCGTAAGCTGCAATGTCATAGGTGAGCTGTGTCATGATGAAATCGGCACCCGCTGCGACTTTCTCGGCAAGATAGGGTAGATCATGTTCCACGCTCTGTTTCCCCTGCTCTGGGTGCGATTCGTCTGCATGGCCCTCCGGATAACCCGCAACGCCAACTGCAAAATAGTCGCCATGCTTGCGCCGGATGTATCGTACCAGGTCCACCGCCCACGTAAACTCTTGGTTGCTCTCTGTCCCCGACCCACCACTGCCACTTTCACTATCGTCCGTCGAGGTGGCATCCTTGTATTCTTCCCGAGGAGGGTCTCCCCTCAGGGCCAAAATGTTTCTGATCCCAATCTCCTTGGCCCCTTCCAGTGCCTCGTCAATCATATGTCTCTTCATGTTCGTACAGGTCAAGTGCAGCACTGTGGTGAGCCCGATTTGTCGTTGGCATACTTCGGCTAGTTCTAGGGACTTTGTGGCTGTAGAACCGCCTGCACCCCAGGTAACTGTGACAAATAGAGGGCGCAGGGCCGTCGCCATGCGAGCAAGACGTGCTTGTAGGTTGGAGAAGCCAGAGGATGTCTTGGGAGGGAAAAATTCGAGGGAGAAGTAGTAGGAAGAGGGCTGGAGGGAGGAGAGGAGCGTGGGCAGACGATCATCGTGTTCAGAGGCCATGGTTCGTGGTGGTGGTTCTTTCTAGTTATTGCGCCTTGTCTTCAGATAGTGCTCAGTCGACCGCTCAGGAATGCAAGCGTGTCAATGGCGACAGTCGTGTGCGCAAAGCCAATCTGAGGTCGTGGATGACTCTTCAAGGATTTTTGAGATAAACTTCGGCCAGCTCATATATTCTCGGTGCCACATTCATATTCCCCTCCAGGAGAGAGGCAGATGAGACCACTCCCCAGACCGTGCAGTCGAGTTCCTGACAATTTGCAAACTGGTCGCGGGGGAAGTTGTTGTAGGTGAGCAAGCAAGAGGTGCCCCGCGACAACATTTTGCCAGGCAGCGCCAGTTGAATTTTTGAATTTGGTCAATGACGCCAATGCTCAACTGCCGATGTGCGGCCCCTCCACGCATCCCTCAATGGCTTCTCCGCCATATTCTACGGATTACAGTAGGTTGTGCACGCACACAAAGACGATCTCTTGATACAAGAAGATGGCATGGCTAACAACAATGAGACCCGCGACCCTTGTCTCCGCCTCAGGTCTTGTACACGCCTTCATAAGGATACAGCTCCCTCCATATTCTTGCCCATGAAACCGCCCGTACCATGTCCCTCACCAAGCCTCCATATCAAGTGGTCGTTCTATGAGTCGTGATGATGGGATAGTTCGTACACATCAATGCCACCCTGAATACAAAGGCCCTGCCACAGTCCCCCATGCTAGTTCCATACAACTCCTTTTCGTAACTCGCCAAACATGCTGTACCCCAGTGCTGATGGTGGCTATCGATATTTTCCTCTTGCGCGAACTCCCAGGTGCCCAGATCCCTCTCAACCCTGTTCGTCTCCATTGATAAAGTCGTCAAAATGCTTCGAGACATTCTCCCCATCCTCCAAATCGGCATGGTCGTTCACCGAATCGTTGCTCGCTGTCCGAATCATATCAAGCGCCTCACTCGCATGACCGGCCTCTTGTTCCAGACTCGGCACAGGATCGTTACTCGTGTCCGCATCTGGGTTACTCATGTCCATGAACATGTTGTCGTACTCACCGCCTCCAGCCGGAGAGCCACCCCGGGCAGAGTTGGGTGCACTGGCAGACGCGTTGGTGAGGCCGCTTCGTAGGTCGTCTTCGGCATCCAGACCCAAACCAGTTCCTGACCGAAACATTGGAAATGAAGGGTCGTGGTTTCGTCCTTCCGAATTGTCTCCTCCGCCAAAGGTAGGCATCATCGGGTCCCTTAGCTCTTCGTGTGGCGCCTCCCTTGTCGGGCTGAACAGTGACGGTGAGTGGGGAGAAAACGGGGAAGGTCGACGTTCTGCAAACGATGACCCAGATATATACCCGGGGTCGAACGTCCTACCAGGTCCGGTATGATCGCCGGACTCTTGCCTCTGCATAGCGGATGAGCCTTCACCGCTTCCACCGTTCTGACTGGGGCTCGCGGCAGAACCTGGAGCAGAAGGTGACTGTGTCGAAGGCTTGGGAAGTAGAGGTCCAGTAACAAATGATTCCTGTGTCTTTCTCCGCACGTAGGTCTTTGTCCGCAAGTGTGGTGGAAGGTCCTCTGGTTTCTCAACTCCCAGCTCCTTCATCAACTTCTGCTGTTTGGTCGGTCGGGGTTTTCGTGTCGACAAGCTCTGGTCAAGGATTGGGGGTGGTTCGGGAGCAATGGGCTGCCATTTGTGCAGCTCCTGCCGTAATACATTGGTCTCGTAGGCAAGAAGAACTTCTGCGCCCTCAATCTTGCGAAGGTAGAAGAGCATTTCTGGCATCTCCTCAATTGTCCTACAAAGTTGACTGCCAGTCGTATACCGCAGGAGGAATTCTCGGAATGCCTGCGCTTTGTCGATTATTCGCTTGAG